AGAAATTCTTCCGACATTGACGTGTCTACCGGTCGAAACATGCCAAAATAACAGGGTATTGAAAATCAATTACCACATAGGTAANTACAGGCTTATAAGTATTAAAAATACCTACAAAATAAGGTACGATTGTTTAAAATTCGTCAATTTGTTTTCTTGTAAAAAATCAAAAACAGCAAATATGAGCCTTTTTTTTTCAAAAGCATATTTGCTGTTTTTGGAAAAGTATAATATGGTTTCTATAGTTTAGAAGGTAAGTCACATTTTGTTGTGTTATTTTCCAAAATTTTAGAAAACAATACCTATGTCACGAACTGTGAAAATGTATTAATATATTTTCATAGCTTCCAAAATATTTGTCTGAATTAAAACCAAGTAACAAAAATTTATTTTGTAGAGCCATAAAGCTCTCCACCATGATTCATATTAATTAATTAACTTAAAGCCATTGTTTTGAAAATTGGCGTTAACAGTCAAAAATTGAAATTTCTTACTCCCAACTGTACAATTAATAAGTACAATGTTAAGTCTGTTATGTGTGCATTGGATTTAAACGAACTATGTAGCGAAATCTATGCAAAAAAATGCAATCTTTATTACGATTTAACCCAACATTCCATAAAATATAATAATAACAACCGAACAATCACAAAGTCTACCTAGGGTAGGTACAAATTTATATTTTTCTATTTTAATAAATGTACTTAAAAATACTGTTTTATTAGAATAATTAATTCAATTCCGTTACCAGCTTTCTCCTTGTCAGTAAATGTTTTGTTTATTCCTAAAATATATGTACCTCCCATGATGACAAAAAAAATACCAAACAGTATTTTAAATATAAAATTGTATTTTGTATTTTGCAATTAAAATACTATTGTTATGACCCTAAAAGTATTTTGTATTTTAAAATAGTATTTAAAATCTTCTAAAAGTAGTTTAAATACTCTTGAGTATTTAAATTACTCAATGCATTTAAAATACCCAAAATACCTATCAAAAACAAATACTTTTGTCTTTTATGATTGACGACTGGTGCTAAAAAAAATTACGCACCTGTACGCTTGGATTTAGCGCATTCTATTCTGCATTCTGCAATGTGCTTTGTGTTATTGTTATTCTGTCTACTTTTAAGTCACTATCATCACTAGCCAAGTCAGTAGATAATCATCAACATTTAAAATTGATTTCTTTCTTTTATGATTCGTAGACCAATTAAATGGACCTTTAAATCGCAATTTTGGTCAACTTGCCTAAATATTATATGTTAGTTTGAGGTATATAGTAACAATAAGCAAGTGACAGTAATTTTTTTTAACCCCCCGGCCAGGGGTGAAAAAAGATAAAATAAAGGGTTTTTTTTCAAGATAACTCAAAATGGATAAGAGCTAGAAAAAAAATTCTTATAAAAATTGTAGGGCATAAAATTCTACATAAAAATATTGACGTTTCCTTGTACTATTAAAATTAACAGAATTACGGTGACCAAACATAAATAAATGTTTGAATTGTCTCTAATAAATTTAACTAAATCCCTTCCTCAGTAAAAGAAACGATCAGCGTGCTTGCTAATTTAGTCACTCGGTAGAATATGGTAAACACTGTCGTTCAAGCTTTGCTGAGTATTGAAAACGATGGACAAAAAATTGCATGGTAATTAGTTACATAACATGTTACAAGTATGTAATTTAGTTCATTCATATAAGTAGAAAATTGTACAATTTACTAAAAAAACAGTTTATTTGCCAAAATTAATACATTTATGAAAGAATGTCGTTTCATTATTTCCTGATTTTAAACGCTGACCACTATAATAAACAATAATGTCATTACGTTGTTACACATGAAAGATTCTGTATTCAAAACTGTATGAAAAACATGTAGTTTCTGAAAATTGTTCAACTACCCATGTAGAGCAATCAGAAATACATCCGAATTTGTATACAAAATCTGCTAAAGTCAGGACCGCATCTAAAACTTGTAAAGCAGTTGGTATGCAGCCATCAACATTCGTGTGCTTACTGTAAACCAACGTATATTTTGACAGAATGTCAATTTATTTTTAACTTTGAAAGTACGTACTTACGTCAATCTATTGCCCGCAACCATGCCGCCGAAACCCAAACTGACCCCCGAAGAAAAAAAGGCCTTAAAAGCGGCAAAAAAAGCCGAGAAAAAGCTACAACTGATAGAGAAAAAGAAACAAATCAAACGGGACTACCTAGACCGAGAAGTGAAGTATGGAGAACTCACAATTAAAAGGCACGAAAGAGAATGGAGGCAGATGCTTATTAACATAGCCTTACCGAAAATGAAGGAAGACTTGGAATTCGCGTGGCACAACTTTGAGAGGGTTATAGATTGCAAGAATTTCGCAATATCTCTCCTTATGGACGAGATAAGAGACGCGGAGCAGCAGTACGTAATGAATGACAGGAACCACATGGAACATATTAATAAATTAATAGACTTGTTCCGCATGCAGCTAGAGGAACTGCAAAAGGACAATGAACAACAGGTAATCAAAGACAGACTTCCCATTCTAAATTTCCTTGTGAAAGATAGAAGTCGTAATCTACCAGTAGCTGATTGATCTCTTGATATAATGTGCCATACCAAATGAAGCCATTTCATTAATCAATTCATAATGCTGCCATTTTGAAACCATGCTTTTTCACAAAAGAAATTTCACGGCATTTTCAAGCCCTTATAGACACAAGCCCATCGGAAATTTTGAAGGGGTCATTTGACTCAGCATGAATTTCTTATAAATCAATAATAACCACATATTATAAATTCAGAAACTATAGGCTTTTTTTCGCGAGTGAAGTCGTTTGTTGTAGTATGTGTAGTATGAGTGAATATTACGTTTTTGCGAGAATAGTCAGTCATTTAAACTACTATGTAACGTCACGAGTTTAAATCAAATGACTGAACTCTTCACCCTTCAGCTGAATATTCTGTTGATATATTCAACTACTATTGTCAGCCGGTAACTTAACCTTTTTCTTTTTGACATTTTGTTTGAATGAGGATAAAAATCGTTCAGCAAAATGATGGATTCTGATACGGCCGTGGAAGTGGTCACTTTAAATTTAAACTTTAGAGGCACAGATGTTTTAGTAAACGTAGACGTTGAAACAGCAAATATTTTACTTAATGGTAAGATTAATTTTTTATATGGGACATATTTATTTTTTCAATCGAAATAACTGAAAAAATACTATATCATTATATGCTTCTAACCATTCTTCTGGATCTGGAATAGAGAATATGTGATATGATTCTCTAAACTTATAACATAAATAAGGAACATCATCATCCTCATTCCACAAAAATATCAAAAAATATAGAGCCATGTCACAATTTCTGTTTTGAAGCCATTGACATAAATGACCAAATTCCATTCTCTTACGATAACGATTATGTCGAATATTCGCATATCTTGCAACATCAGAATCTACATACTTTTCACGCTTTTTAAATTTGCCACNTTTCGAGATACAGAGAGATAAAATAAATTTTTTTTAAATAGAATTTTTACGAAAATTTACAAACGGTGCGAAATATTTTTATGAAATTTGGTATTCCGGGGTTTTTAAGGGTGCCAAATGGGCTAGTCAAATTATTTTTTGTATATTTCATAGAAGGCGCAAGTTTTCTACATTCTTATTATATTTTAAGTTCTATTTTTTTTTGAGGTTAGGTTTTTTACCATTCGGGCTCCAATTTCTATTGTACAATTTTATTTTCTAAAAATAATGTACTCTTGTTAGAACCTCCTAATGTGGGCGATTTTCGAGAAAAAAGACTTACAATATTACATTATAAAATAAGTGACTTCGCCCACATTAGGAAGTTCTAACAAGAGTACATTGTTTTTAGAAAATAAAATTGTACAATTGAAATTGGAGCCCGAACGGTAAAAAATCTATCCTCAAAAAAAAATAGAACTTAAAATGTAATAAGAATGTAGCATAACTAGCGCCATCTATGAAATATACAAAAAATAATTTGACTACCGTATTTGGCACCCTTAAAAATCCCGGAATACCAAATTTCTTAAAAATATTTTCCCCGTTTGGAAATTTTCGTAAAACTTCTATTTAAAAAATTTTGTCTCTCTGTATCTCGAAAACAAGAGGACATGGACATATAGTTGATAAGAAAAAAATTCTCATTTTTGTCGTACTATCACCCTCTGTATTTACGGGAGGTCTTTCTGAAACATCCTGTATTGTATATTTATATGGAATTTTGCTTAATAAATGAAAATAAGTAGGTACCTTATTAGAAATTATAAATACATGTGCACATTTTTTACGTTTTCATCATTTTTTCTCGGACTGCGGATATATTTTTGTCGGACATTACAATTTTTGCTTATAAAAAACACTTTTCTATTGTGTTATTTTTGTCCGACATGTGGTAATCGATTTATCATACCCCGTGAAAATTCCGATTTCCAGCTGTCGGACTGAAAAAACGCGGCTTGAAATTTGTCGGACAACAATACTTTTTGAATGAATTAATTATTTACAATTAATTTTAGTAAAAATTACCTATGTGGTAATTGATTTTCAATACCCTGTTATTTTGGCATGTTTCGACCGGTAGACACGTCAATGTCGGAAGAATTTCTGTCGGACAAATTTAAATCGGCACTTGCAACAAAATTTCCAGTAACTTAAGCTAAAAATAAAATATGTGGTCTTGACTTTTCAAAACCCCAGGAAATTGCCATGTTTTTGGTCTGGAAAAGTGTGGTAGACTCGTCAAAACGAAGCTCCTCAGGAGTTATAAAATATGTGGTAATCAACTTTCCAGGGGGGCCCGTACTGTGGACTAAAAGTCAGGAACGCATCTAAAACTTGTAAAGCAGTTGGTATGCAGCCATCAACATTCGTGTGCTCACTGTAAACCAACGTATATTTTGACAGAATGTCAATTTATTTTTAACTTTGAAAGTACGTACTTACGTCAATCTACTGCCCGCAACCATGCCGCCGAAACCCAAACTGACCCCCGAAGAAAAAAAGGCCTTAAAAGCGGCAAAAAAAGCCGAGAAAAAGCTACAACTGATAGAGAAAAAGAAACAAATCAAACGGGACTACCTAGACCGAGAAGTGAAGTATGGAGAACTCACAATTAAAAGGCACGAAAGAGAATGGAGGCAGATGCTTATTAACATAGCCTTACCGAAAATGAAGGAAGACTTGGAATTCGCGTGGCACAATTTTGAGAGGGTTATAGATTGCAAGAATTTCGCAATATCTCTCCTTATGGACGAGATAAGAGACGCGGAGCAGCAGTACGTAATGAATGACAGGAACCACATGGAACATATTAATAAATTAATAGACTTGTTCCGCGTGCAGCTAGAGGAATTGCAAAAGGACAATGAACAACAGGTAATCAAAGACAGACTTCCCATTCTAAATTTCCTTGTGAAAGATAGAAGTCGTAATCTACCAGTAGCTGATTGATCTCTTGATGTAATGTGCTACACCAAATGAAGCTATTTCATTAATCAATTTATAACGCTGCCATTTTGAAACCATGCTTTTTCACAAAATAAATTTCACGGCATTTTCAAGCCCTTATAGACACAAGCCCATCGGAAATTTTGAAGGGGTCATTTGACTCAGCATGAATTTCTTATAAATCAATACTACCACATATTATAAATTCAGAAACTATAGGCTTTGTTTCGCGAGTGAAGTCGTATGTTGTAGTATGTGTAGTATGAGTGAATATTACGTTTTTGCGAGAATAGTCAGTCATTTAAACTACTATGTGACGTCACCAGTTTAGATCAAATGACTGAACTCTTCACCCTTCAGCTGAATATTCTGTTAGTATTATTCAACTAGTATTGTCAGCCGGTAACTTAACCTTTTTCTTTTTGACATTTTATTTGAATGAGGATAAAAATCGTTCAGCAAAATGACGGATTCTGATACAGATGTTTTAGTAAACGTAGACGTTGAAACAGCAAATATTTTACTTAAGTAATGGTCGTAAGATTAATTTTTTATATGGGACATATTTGCGATCCACTTTGCTTCAGGATTATCCTCTTTTTTTTGTGACCTAGGCCAAAGATAATATTGGTGGAATCATTTGTAATTCAGGTCTTTTTCGTATGAATTACATAAAAAACCGACCTAACCTCTTTCTAGTTNCTGTCTCTATAAATAAGGTGTTATTATTATTATTGTTATTGTGTTACTACTGAATGAATGACTGGTGACGAGAGTGGATGGTAAGGCCGAGAGGTAGTCGTGGCCCAGGGGCGCCGTATCAGGCGAGTGATACGAGAATGAATGGTGAGGCCGAGGGCATTAGCCAAGGGGCGCCGTATCCAGGGGCTGAGCCGAGAGATACGAGGATGAAAGAAGTGAGCGTATGTGTGTGTAGTTTTGATTACAGGTGTTCCAGATGCATGCACAACCTACATCGGGGATGCTTATTCGAGGGACCGCCAGATAGGACAGCGAAGGACGGGGCGGGGCGCCCCCGGTGAGTGTAAACCATAATTAGTTACGTATTAAGAACATACAGCAGTACTTGTTTGTTACATATCACGAGTGATTGCCAGGAACCCTGATCACATCTCATCTGCCCATTGTTGCCTCTTGACAGTCAGACTGTATGTTTACGTACTACACCCGTAAGGTAATCCTAATCATTAATTGTAAATAAGCTCCACTTGAAAACATACACCTAACATAATAGGAATCAATATATATTTTATTTTGTAATGAAAACTATCGTGGTTGCCTTGAATCAAACCTCAGCTGTTCACACGGAATGCGCCAGCTAAGTGTTTATTTGCTCTTGAGGTAATGTAATTTATGAGTACCAAAATGTAGGCCGGGATTCCGAAATTAAGAGAGGGGGTTCTTTGTGACAATGGTGCCTGGCCAGCGCCCGAATAAGGTTGATTATTTATATGTGTATGCTAGCTTGAATACATTTGTTACTATGCTCGTTTATGTTTATGGAAACCCCAGGGGGCGCCACGTGTTCCCGGTCTTAATGACTGTGGTTCATTCGAAGTGTGCCTTGTAAGTTATTCGGGGTCTTTTACCTGCGCTTCGATTGACACATACTGGGTGGTGTTGAGGTAGGTGGCATAATAAAATGATTCACACACCCTTTAGATTTTCCGAAAATTTTGGCCCGGGTTTTGGTGATTTATTACAGTACGGCATTTATACTGCAAGTTTCGGATCGATACATAGATAAATTTTTAAGCAACGCCGTACGTACTTGCTGATACATGGGTTAGGAATACCTACTCGATTTGTAGCGTATGGGGGGTGATTTGAACCAACATCAAATTCACTAATTTTAATTCTATTTTATAAAATAATGACATTTTTGGCCATTCTGTACATTTTTCGTGAAACATGTACTTACTATAGGAAAATTAATTTCCCTCTGATAGTGAAAAGTAGGATTTCACGGTGAAAAATTTTTGTACGGCATTAATATATAGGGTGGTCCGAATTTTATGCAGGAAACTTCGAGGACAGATAGATTTCTTTAAAATAATAGTAGTTTGCCTTCTAAACATAGGTCTGGAACGGCTCCATTTTAGAGATACAGGGTGTTGAAGTTGTTAAAAAAATATTATTTTTTGTTTATATCTCAGGAATCTATTAACCGATCTCAATAAAATTTGGTACAAATAATGTACGATAGTAGGCCTTGCATTCCCTATAATATGAGCTCTAAAGGTTTAGCCAGTGGTGTACAACTGAACAGGGGTCACCCCCTTTTATAAAAGAAACCTACGCCACTGTATTTTTTACAAGTTATTGTAATGGATTTATATTCTAATGCACTAAATACGTAAAAAAGGTGCCTTGAATTTTTTCTCTAAGGTTCACCATTTTCAAGTTATTGATACAAATACAATCCCCTTGTGGCAGACACTTCAGATCATAATATTGCAAAAATATTTATGTTTATGCTTAAAAGTAAGTGCAGTTTATAAGCACATCAACAAAATTCTTTCCACATCACTTGTGAGGTAGTGTTCCTGGTGTTTTAGTTTTCCCTGGAGGTATTATCTTTACAAATAAGAACAATTTAAATCAAAATAATAATAAAAATACATTTATCAAGCAACAACAACTAAACAAGAAACAAAATTAACGTTACGTATTTACAGCAATTGTTTAAAATGCGAACCACCCATATTGATACGTTTCTAACATTTGTTAATGGAACTAATTCAAGCTAATATCATATGGTGTTTTCTATTCGCTGCAGTAGTTGTGGTCTAGTATCTATTGGAGTAGAGTAAACTTTTCAGGTAGGTCACCCCAAACATAGAGGTCCAGGTAGTTTAGATCTGGCGATCTGGCTGGCCAAGACACTGGACCCTCTGCACCATTATGGTTGACATTGACATTTGGTCTTCTACCTATCCATCATCTCATATAATTTTCATTAAGCCATTCTTGTATTATTCTCCTAAAATGCGCAGGAGCACCATCCATTTGTATCCAGCTATTTTGTCGTATATTTAATGGAACATCCTCTAATAATTCAAATAGATGGTTTTCTAGAAAGTTTAGAAATGACATCGAATTTCATGAGGATTTTCTTGTGATCAAATATCCAGATTGTGAAAATTCACTGCCCCTCACCTTGTGAACGTAGCCTCATCGGTCCAAAGTATTTCTAGTAAGAATTCAAACAACCACTGATAAAAATTCAGGCGTCTCTCTGCATCTCCCGGAAGTAAATTTTACACAGGTTGTAAATGGTACGGATTTCTGTCATCCTTACGTAGAACTTTTCAAATTTTCGATTTACTCACCTCAAGTTGACGAGACGTTTTTGTGTACTTAGCCGAGGATCGTCGTCAAATGTTCTTAAAAATTTAATTTCTGTGCCTTTCATTGCGCCGTCGTGATTTTCCAAACATCGTTTTAATCCAAAAAGATGAAAGCGACGAGTGTAAAGAATTTTGTTGATGTGCTTACAAATTGCACTTACTTTTAAGCATAAACATAAATATTCTTGTAATATTATGGTTAGAAGTGTCTGCCACAAGGGGATTGTATTGGTATGAATAACTTGAGAACGGCGAACTTTAGGGAAAAAATTCATGTTACCTTTTTTACGTATTATGTGCATTAGAATATAAATTCGTTACAATAGCTTGTAAAAAATACAGTGGCGTAGTTTTTTTTATAAAAAGGGTGACCCTGTCCAGTTGTACACCACTGGTTGAACCTTTAGAGCTCGTATTTTAGGAAATACAAGGCCTACTATCATACATTATCTGTACTAAATTTGATTGAAATCGGTCGATGGATTTCGGAGATATAAACAAAAAATAATTTTTTTTAACAACTTCAACACCCTGTATCTCTAAAACGAGGCCGTTCCAGACCTATGTTTATAAGACAAACACCTATTATTTTAAAAAGATCTATCTGCCCTCGAAGTTTCCTGCATAAAATTCGGACCACCCTGTATATTTTGTTAATACTGACAACAATAATAATCAACAAAAACAAAATGCCGTACAAATAAAATGGTTCTAAATGGCTTGAAATGTATTTTTGCAAATAAGTATTACTTGTAAGAATTGATTTTATTTTTACTACTATTTTCCCCTTATTACAAATTATTTACTACTGTAAGGCCTTTCTATAATAAGACTCACAATATCATATAGAAATATTTTTCAGTAATGCCGTACATATTTGTCGATACAGGAGTGACAAATCCCGGATGCAAACCCCTATATTCTGACCCTTATGGTTTCTGATCATTGAAAATGGCCGGCATTGTTGCTAAAACATTATTTAAGATGTAAAATAATTTTTAAGACATATGCCGTTAAAAAACCATAGGTCGATATAAAAATTATTTATTTTAAAAATTTGAAAAGCTTATAGGTATATTAATTTTTTTTTTCACAAGTACATGTTAAATTTTTTCAAACTAAAAAATTATTATTAAAAAATCTGCAATCGAATATTTTTTTAAAAATTTGGAATTATTTTTATTGTAAAATTAAAATTACCGCTTCGAGTTTCTAGCTGGCCATCGAGACATCTTCTTTCTCCGTCTCTTTTTTCTTTTCGGCGTGTAAATTTTTATGTGGTTTTATTCATGTTTATAACCGACAATCTTAAAGTTGTTTTTGTAATAAATGCGCGTTTAAATTATTTTTACTAATTTTAAACATATATTGTATGACAATGGCTTCATCACAATTTTTGCATAAATAAATTGTTCAAACAATTGTAACAGAAGTTGCAAATATGCAAATACGAGGGTACTGTTACTTCAATACATATATTATATCACTGTTTTAAGTGTAAGTATTTATATAGGAATTCTCATGAATATTGAGTTAAAATTAATTGTTTATTATTATATTTATTTAAAAATAATTCTTTCTTGCGCGTCATTAAATTTCTAAATTTCTCAAAATATTTTCTCGATTCTCTATACACAAGTTTTTTTAACTTTAACAATGCCATCATAATCTACGGTATAAATTAAATTTCTCTTGAAATTAGGATAAAACTCATTTTGGACTTATAGGTACAATTTCGGAGAATTGTTCCAACAAATATGTACGGCATTCCAATTTTCATTCTTTATGTTATATTTCTGATGAAAATTTGAAAAGGCCATATAGTTATTAATGGCTTACAAATGTAGTAAAAATTTAATGACAAATATTATCAGCTATGTAAAATCTAGTGCTGGCAAAAACCAGAAAAAAATGAAACCGGTTAACCGGGTTCCGTAAAAACCGATTTCAGATAAAACCGGTTAGTCGAATAGTTGCTAAAACCGGATATTCTAAAACCGGTTATTCGAATAATCCGTTACTCGAATAATGAACAAAACCGGATATCTGAAAATCGGCGCTTTGTAAAACTGACGAGATATACGATGTTATTCACATATTTACATATTTTAAATTTTAAAATGTTAAAACAGTTAAAACAGTTGCACTTGTTACTGTGATTCTTCAATTTATTATTTATATAAATGGATTTGGTTGTTTTGTGTATGTGGGTGTGGGTGACTGGTTTTTTTATCAGTCTGTGTCTGTGTCCCAGGATAAAATATAAAAATAAATTGTATTTCCCTTAATAGATCAACCCTTCCAATATGTATGCACCATGTAGCCGGTGTCAATAACTACATAACACTAAGACTATACGAGTATTATGGTGTTATGCAGTTATTGGCTATAAAGAAAGAATCCGATTATTTAGATGTTTCCATAGATTATCGAATAATCGGTTATTTGAATAATCGCATATTTGAAGAATCGAATAACCGGTTTTCGGGTTTCGTAAAAATCCGAATTATCCGAAAACGGTTAACCGACTATCCAAAAAACCGATTTCAGTTGCCAGCACTAGTAAAATCCACTAGTTAAAAATGTACGGCATTTTTTTTTTTATTTTTTTATTTATGAAAAGTCAATTATTACAGTCATAATATTTTGAATACAACATTTATAGTTTATAACAAGGAATTTTCAAAATAATATAAATTTTCACAATATATTTTTTTGTTTTTTAATTCGAATTTTTAATTTGTACCATTTATTATAACCGGCCATGATTTAGTACGATAGTTTTTGGTTATGTTTTATCAAAAAAGTGGTTGCCGTGCAGGAATTAATGATCTTATCGAAAAAAAAAATAAAACTCAATTCCAAAATACAAGTAATTGTTTATAACCTTTTGCACTAACCATAATTTTCAGACGGCATAGTTGCTAAGAATTGTTTGGAGAGTTAAATAATCATGTGGAATCGATGCCGTACATTTTCTAATGACTTGAAACAATGGGGGCTAAAATAGAGGGTTGCGCTCTGCACTTCTAACCCCTTTATCAGCAGATACGTACGGCGTCACTAAAAAAGTTATCTATGTATTAATCCGAAACTTGCAGTGTAAATAACTTACTGTAGTAAATCACCAAAAACCGGGACAAAATTTTCAGAAAATCAAAAATTTTCCTTACATCCGATACTGCTATTTTTGTACGGCATTAGGTCGAGGTTCATTTTTTTTATATATCCTAATACTTTAGAAATGGCGTACAAAAATGTTTTGCCGAAAACCACCCCCCTTGGTGGACAGGTTTAACTTACCTGTACCAACAAGAATTGATGGCATATTTTCTAAGGTTATTCTTATATGTGGTAGTATTGATTTATAAGTAATTCATGCTGGGTCAAATGCCCTTGAAAATTTCCGATGAGCTTGTAGTCTATTAATAAATAAATAAAATTCCTAACGGAAAACAACGTAGGTACATGTCTCAAAAACAGAGATCGTCTGATTGGTATAAAATTTCTTTAAAACATTTTGATGAGAAATAAGAATCCGAGCAATTGGTTTTCTTTGTTTTCTATAAGGGAAAGATTATCTTTTCTCATTGGATTCCGAATAAGATTGGGCATAAAGGCTTTAACAGAAGAAAATCCACGTCAATAAATCGAATTTCATCATCAGCAACAGTTTTCTCTATTTTCTTTTGTTCTGAAATTCTTGGAGACCATAAACTTGCTTTCTCGAGGAATTACTTCCAGCACTTCTCCAAAATGTACTTAGTTACTTCTAACCCTTGCAACCAAAGGAGAAATTTCAGGAATTATCCAATTAATGTCTTTTTGTTGATAGGAAATGTATACAAAATGTTATTCTTGTAACTTTTTCCATATTTAAGGCTAAAAAATGAACCCTAAATTTTTCTCTTCTCGTTTAAAAGGAAAGATTTTGTTCTACCTAATTTTCGACTAGGAATCACCCCCTTAATTTTTCACAATCACTACCCATCAGCAGTTGCTTGAAAGAATTCAGGATGCAGCTAAACAGATAAAAAATGATTCAAATTCGACGGAATCTTTAGTTCGCCAATGTGAGGTTTGCATTCAAGCCGAGGGTGGACATTTTCAACAATTTTTATAGTCTTTAGAAATGTTAATTTGGTTAACAATTAATGTTTAAATTTTAAACACAAATTATAATAATTATTGTTATAGCAACCATCATTTTTATTTATCAGTTTACTTTGATTGAAATAAGAAATTGTATTTTTTAAACATCTTCTAAACAAAAACAAATCGGACATATATGTTCATATAACAAAAAATGGTTGAATTTAACCCAGCTACTATCTGTCAAAGTTTGTCATAGTCCTTGTACACCCTGAACAATAAACATATAATTTCCTTACTTTTAGATTCCTGCGTTGTTAATTTTTAAAATAATGTTCTAGGTTGCGAATTTAATACAAAGAGCAGAGGAGCAATCACAAGAACTTAAAATAGATGCCGTTGAAGAAGACATTTATTTGAAAACAATGATATACAAACTAGAGATGGCCTGGAAAGAACAGAAACAGAACGTTCGTGCTGAATATTTTTCTAAATTAGAAGAAGAAGGTACTAAATACGCCCAAATCATCCAGAGACTAAGAGGAGTTTTGGAAAAGGATCTTCTAAATATGTGTAAACAGACTCGAGAGTTTTTGCGAAACTTTGAGGAGAGAACCAGAGCTAGGAAGAAGGAACACGATAAACTTAAGGCTCAAGATGATTCCGTGCAGAAACTACTTGTCATACAACTTGGAAAGCTCAGGAAAATGTCGGAATGCGTGAGAAGGTTAAAATCGAAGTATAAAGATTCCTGCAAGTTATTAAGCAACAGGTTAAAAGACATCAAAGATGAAAACAATTACTTTACGTTTGTCTTTAGCCACTTAAAAATGAAGTTACAGAAAGATAGAGAAAGGGATTTCAACCAGATGAGAATTTTAACAGTCAATTACAACTCAGCCATACAATACTTGGAGAAACTCCAGGAAAAAGGCGAACACATCCTGCATGCTACGGCGGTGTGTAGGAAATTGGAAACACAGGAGGAGAAAATTATGCCTTTTCCCGTGCCTGAAGACTCAATGAAAGTATATATGGACGATCAGGACGAATACCTGGAGTCTTTAGATTTGTTTTGGCAGAGGGTTGCGCAAGCGGATGCATCTCGGTACTCTATAAATGAAGAAAGGGAGTTTCTGAAGTCAGAGAACCAAATTCTGAGAATGAAACTACATAAGTATTGCCAGTGTGTTACTTGCCCATTCGTCGAATCTAAAATGATAAGTAACGGAAAATGCGTTACGGATGGCGTTTTGGAAATGAAGAAATATGAAAAACACAATTATAAACAGTTTTATAGTAATGAGTATGATGACGAAATTGATGAATAAATCTAAAATCGTTCTAACATTGTGCATAATTTATACCAAAAACTGTCTGCCAAATCGCAGTACCTCTGCATTACAAAGCCGACGCGATCTAGCTGATTATGTCTTAACTAATATTCATATAAAAACAGCTAATGATAAAGTTTTAGATATACTTATGCAGTTGATAGTCACATAAATTTATAGAAAACTTGACTTTTTAAATTAATTATCAAGTTACCAACAGTTACTTATGTTTTTTTTTCTTCTCTTGGACAGATAATAGTTACTGAAAAATATGTCTTTTTAGTCAAATAATAAGTAATACACAGGCAGAAATAAAGTAGACATTTTTGCAACAACAAATATCAAACTAAGAACACTGTAAAAATGTCATTAATTGGAGACACAGAAATTATAAATGAAGTGCTGCTATAAAAAAAAAATAAACTTCGTAAGTAAAAAATTATCTTGGTATGATGAAATGACTAAAAAAAATACGAAGTTAGTACAATGTTAATTCTGGAATTTTTTTAATTAAATTATTATTTACTAATAAATAAAATATCTTGTTTCTTAGCTTAATCATATCGCTTTTTCAAAACTTATTTACTCCCTACAACTATATTTGCTTCAAAGTTGAAAATATGTTCAAGCTTTTATACTTCATTTTTGCATTTAAGTTTCTTTGATTTTTTTTTGTTTCTTTAGTTTATCAATTAGGTTGTTTTTATTTTTTATTTCTTTATTGTGTATATCTAAGATTAAATGATTTTTCAAAATATTCATGCATTTCTTTGTTACTGCTGTGTTGCCTTTATACGCCAGTTTTTATCAAATCTATGTGTTCTCTTAAGAACTTCCTTACTAATATTCTATTTTAAGAATATATATTTATTCATTAAATATAATGTATACAAACAGAAAGTAGGTAGGTATGCTATACTACTTACAGGATATTTATAACTTGCACAACAAATATTTGTTATGTATTTAATAAACTGGGTTTTGTTGTCTGCTGTAATAAATTTAATTAACACATCTTGGAAGAAAAAAGGAACAAATAGACCCTACCTAATGTCTACAGGTTCATGATTTGTAATATTTACTGAAAAAGTTTTAAACGTATTTACTTTCTCTTACTATCTCCTTCAAAGTGTTAATAACGGTTTATAAACGAAATTATATAAGTATACATGGTTTTATGGGGAAAATTTAAGATAATATAGGTACAATGATTTGATAATATAACATATAGCAGTATACAAATAAATTATGGAAATTTTGTCACTAGATGATAGTAGCATTAGTTTTTAATACTAGTTGAAGAATAATACCTATACAGATTGAAATAAAATTATCGAAATGAACATTTTTATTTCTAAAGAGACAAGAATTTTCCTTTGATACTACCAAGAATCGAAAGAACACATATACGACTGGAATACGCCTTTTCAATGTGCATTGTCCTGCGTGTTGCGTTTTTATATTTTCAGTTTTCACTCTTGACTTCTTTCTTATCCATGGAGACTATTCTTATCTATGGACTTCTTGACACCTTGACAGACAGATTGTTTCTGTGATCTGTGATCTGTGACAGACTGGATAGTTCATCATAGAAAACTTAAATACTATATTTTCTATGCAGTTCTTTTAAAAATGGCATCGCGTGAAGAGTGGTGCGCCGAAAAACTAACAAAACTTTTAAAAGAAGACTTAAGAATATCAACGTTAAATGAAATTAGGGATCATCTTACTTCAGTTCCTCAAAATGAAGCATCTAGAACTGCAAATCTCCTGGATTTGCCTTTGGTTTTCGATTGTTTAAATGATTCAAACACGTAAGTTTTTTTTCTAACCTAAAAAGTGCTGCGTCAACTTAAACATTATATTTAATTTTTTAGGGAACAAATTGATTTAGCATGTGAGGTCCTCTCCCTTTGCATGAATAATCTAAATCTAGGTGAAAGCACAAATAAATACAGTCTTCCACTAGAAAGAGCACTAAATCATCCCTATAATGCTGTTAAGCTTATGGCATTGAAGGAAATAGATCGAAATGTCTCAAATGAAGAATCATTAATAAATATATGTAAAAGAGTCTCGTTATTAAGCAACATAATAAGATGTATTGGCGACAGTGATATAACTGTAGCAAAGGAAGCTTGCGACATAATTGTAAAGTTAGGACTCTTCTCCACGGGATTAAAGCAGCTTATATCAAACGATGTGATGACAGTTCTCCATGAAGTTATGTCGATTAGTGAGGTGGTTCGATTAAGAGTTTATGAAGTAAGATATATGTGACATTATAGCAATAAGTACCAACCTGTGATTAGTTAAATTGAAATAGTTTGTCATATTTATTTTTTATTAAGGGTTACTGTATTTTATTAGGTGGTTGTTAACATATCTAAAGACTCGGAAGAAAACTTTACTCATTTAAGTTCAACTGGATTAATAGCACAGATATTTGAGGAATTAGACAGCAATGATGTTTTACTGAGAATGAATGTTGTCGAGTTATTGACACAACTTGGTTTGAGTAGGCATGGATATAACTATTTGGAACATAACGGCATCTTAAGCAAATTGTTTGGTTTCATAGATGACAATGAGGATCCTACGCTAGTCCAAATTTGTGAACCAGGTAAGCTATATTTATATTTTCTTTTTTTATCTTTACATTTAGTGGCTCCATCGGAGAGAGAGGCATATTAGTTACAACTACTGATAATGACCCGCTTTGCAGGAATGCAAACTTGTGTTGAATATTAACACTGAATAATTATTAGGACAAGTTTAGATAGTGTTTTGTAATTGGGATAAAGCATATTACGGTTCTTATGATATTTGTTGAGATAGAATTCCAAGAAGACCCCTGCGTCACTTATTTGGAATTAACCGCATTTGACGCATCAGGTAGAAAGGCATTGGTGGGGTGGCGTTCGCTGTATTAACTGTGTTTTGCAGTTACGAAAGTGTGTTTCTTCATAATTTAACTTGGAATTCCATCTTAACAAATATTGTACGGACTGTATCTTGACAGCATGTTATGTTATGGTGATTTTTCATGAAATTTAGGTATTTTAAAATTCTTTGGTCATATGGCGAACTGGAAGCCCATTGAATTACTCTCAAAATATCCAAAATTTTTCGACAGATTATTTTCTAACATTGAAAGTGGAGACTTGATAATTGTTGGTGTATCATTAGATACGTTAGGGGTTATTGGACTTACGAATTCAGGAAAATGTGCCTTGCAATCCACAGGTACAGCTCAAACTAATTTTTTTAGAATCAATGTATATCTTAATTATTCTAGGAAACAAAATGACTTATGCCATTAAAACTATTGTTAAACTGCTAACTTCTTTTCCGACTGAAGTAAGGTTAAGGGCATTGAATTGTCTTGAAAATCTGTTAGCCGTCGAGGAGCAAAAAAATGATATAATGCAAATCACTCGAAGGTGGTATGGACTATTTGGGGATGATCCGATGGAGATAATTTTAAGATATGCCAAAAATCCATTCTCTGAAATAAAATTATCTGGGCTAGGCATTTTACGTGTCATCGCTGACCAGCAGTGGGGACAAGAGGAAATAAGAAATACACCAGGTTAGAATATGTATAAAATTATTAACGATGAAATAACCTATTTCAAATTAAATAACACAAAATTTGGTAATTTTTAGGTCTAGTAGAGTTTCTACTTGATCGTAACATAGAGACTGTAAAAGAGGGTAAGGAAGCAAAGTATGAAATAGTGAAAGTATTGTCTAATAGCACGGTTTTCGACCAGTCGACTCTAAAAACTTTCCAGGACTTTGTGAAAGAAGGACCATTCTATGTTCACGCTGTTACTGAAGTGGCCTTTGAGAATGAATAATATCCGTGATTTGGCATTTGTTTATTTATTACTTAACATTTATTATAGTTTAAGCAATAAATGGTATTTTTCATTTTCTTAAGATGCATATAATTGAACCCAATATAATCCAACTTTTCTACAAGGTTTGATCAAAAAGTAACGGGAATTCTCAAATTGCGCGTGTTGTACAGTGTCTATCAAGTTGATTTTTTTTGTGGATCAGTGATCATATCAAATATAAATAGTGACAAGGTTAGTAGATCTCCAGTTTCAGAGTAACTTCTGAAGAAGAGAGCGATGTGCCTCTCAAAACATCAAAAGTTGTAAATCAAAGACATGGCAACGAGCACGGAAATCATTCAATCATTAACGACAGCCACGAAAGCCTACAAATAAAATTTGACACACAAATAAACATAACGCCACTTTTAATTTGCGTTTTTTAATTACTCTCCATTTTAAGCAAAACCGTACTAAAAACTGTTGAAACTTGCCAAACTCGACGAGCCATGTTAATCGCACAGGAAAGTGTACAGTGATGCATTTGGACTACCAGTCTTTTCGTCTTGCGTAACATGGCACAGGCTAAAACCGCTCGATTATTAGAGCATTATCATTTTTAGCTACCACTTTTTGAACGCCACGCCATTCTTTCTGAGAAAATTTACGATACCTGTTAAACCTCGTATAAATGACATACAAATGAAGTGTTAATAAATTATTAATAGTCCACAGTACACGCTCCCCCTAGAAAGTTGATTACCACATACTTTATAACTCGTGAGGAGCTTCGTTTTAACAAGTCTACCACACTTTTCCTCTGCGACTTTCCTCCGCTTTTTCACTCGGAAAAGTCCAAAAACATGGCAATTTCCCGGGGTCTTGAAAAGTCCAGACCATATCTTTTTTTTTTAGTTTAAGTTACTGGAAATTTTGTTGCAAATGTCGATTTAAATTTGTCCGACAGAAATTCTTTCGACATTGACGTGTCTACCGGCCGAAACATGCCAAAATGACGTGGTATTGAAAATTAATTACCACATAGGTAATTTTTAGTAAAATTAATTGTAAATTGTTAATTCAGTCAAAAAGTATTGTTGTTCGACAAATTTCAAGCCGCGTTTTTTCAGTCCGACAGCTGGAAATCGAAATTTTCACGGGGTATGATAAATCGATTACCACATATTTAATTTTCTTTTTTTCCACTTTTAAATTTACTTTAAAAGAGTGTTATAAGTGTCCGATGATTTAATGTCCGCAAATTATTAAAAAATCAATAAATCAATAATCGAGATGAAATTTAATTTTTTCACTCCAAAAATTTCATATTTATAAATGGTTATTAATTATTATTATGTAAATTATTATTTGTTTCAAATAAATAATTATAATATTGCTTATTTTATGCTTAAAAATGTAAAAGTTATAAACAAATGAAGCTATTTTCTCGTATAATACTTTAAAAGTTCCCGCCTCATGTTACTTTCATGAGTAGTAGCAACTACAAGAGGTTTAGTAGTAAACCAGTATAGTACAATCATGGGCAACTTAGTCACCACCATCCGAGCGATTCTCTTTCTATTTTGCCCCACTTCAAATTCTTGGGGCGTATTGACATTACAAAGGGCTTCGTTAATAAGTTAAAGGAGGAAAGATTTACTAGAAAGAGCTAGCTAGCTCAATCGCATTCTGATTTCAATATAAATAAGGCGAGATTTACAATTACAAGAATAAAACGAAAAATATATATGTATATATTTATATGGAATTTTGCATAACACATGAAAATATCTTATTAGAAATTATAAATACGTGCACATTTTTTACGAAATTTTTTTCATCTTTTTTTGTCGGACTGACGATTTGTGGATATATTTTTGTCGGACATTACAATTTTTGCTTATAAAAAACACTTTTCTGTCGAGTGTTTTATCATACCCCGTGAAAATTCCGATTTCCAGCTGTCCGACTGAAAAAACATGGCTTGAAATTTGATGGACAACAATACTTTTTGACTGAATTAATTATTTACAATTAATTTTACTTAAAATTACCTACGTGGTAATTGATTTTCAATACCCTGTCATTTTGGCATATTTTGGCCGGTAGACACGTCAATGTCGGAAGAATTTCTCAAATTTAAATCGGCATTTGCAACAAAATTTCCAGTAACTTCAGCTAAAGAAAAGGATGTGATCTTGACTTTTCAAGACCCCGGGAAATTGCCATGTTTTTGGACTTTTTCGAGTGGAAAAGCGGAGGAATCGAGAAAAGTCGCAGAGGAAAATTGTGGTAAACTCGTCAAAACGAAGCTCCTCACGAGTTATAAATAATATATGTTAAATTAAAAATGCATATTTTTAATAAATTTTATTTATTTTCACATTTTCCTAAGAAAGAACAATTATTTTAAAATAAAAATAAAGAACATTAAAAAAAATAAGTACAAACTATTGTAATGCCTTTGGCTTATTAATATTAACGTGCAGGATAATATCCTTAATAGAAATACTGTAACAGTGGTATAAAATAAAATTTTAATTTAGTTACAAAAATCAAGAAATAAATACATTTATTTCTCAGTATTTTTGTTTAAACAGTAGAAGTTTTTAAGATTGTCTAAGAAGAACTTCGAAAAGTTAATATTGTCCATTTATAAGTTCATTCTATGGTTTCTTTACATGTTTGTGACCCTGTATAAATCAGTTTTTGAGTTTTTATTTTGTTTTTACTAGATCTCCAGTATAATATAGTGAGAAGGAAAGAAAAGGACCATATTACTAAATGTTTTATCAAGTACATATTCTTATATTTCTAATAAATGTTTAATATTTTAAGGAATTAAATTTAGGATTTATAAACAAAACTCAAAACATGTAACAAAAATTCAGCAAACAGTTGTATCAGTCTGTTTCCATGTTTTTAACTACACAACACCTCTTACAAACAATACTCGCACACCACTATTTGTATATTAATACTAAGTGGCAAGAAAATTTAACAGTATCCTATTTCTTGCTTCATTACACACTTGCACACATTCACAGCAAAGGAGAGAATAAATATATACAAAATTACAATTAATTACAACATATCTTTCAAGACGGTGATGCGGCAGATTGACTTTTCTTGATTGCCACCACTTTTGATATTATTCTAAGCATCGACACAACAGGTGCTTCGAATGCGACTGAAAGTAAGAAAGATATTGCATATGAGGCTACGACTTGCCCCATGTAGATAACTAATGTTACGATGGTGCCTAAATGGAGTGGGCTGTCCATGCTCATTACCATCACTCTTATTATTATGGGGTGGAGGAGGTACGCACAGTATGTCACTCTGCTGAATGGGTAGAGGATTGTTGCCGATAGTATTTTGTTTACGATACCTGCAAATAATTTATACAAAAATTAATATAATTTTGGTATATGAAGTGTTACAAATTTTATTAAAGCTTTGATTAAAGAAATCCAGATCAATCAAATTATTTTAGTAAAAATTAAAGATATACATTTTATTATACACATATGTGTGTGGTGGGTTGCAGTAATTTGCATTTGTAAATATTCACTGATCTAATAAATACAGAAAGGAAACTATTCCCATTGATATTAGCCATATTACCCATTGAATTTTAATTAAAATCCTTTTACGAAAGTGCTTCAAATATGTTAGAATCAGTTTCATATTTCAGTTTATTAATCTTTAATTTAATATTCCATTTCTAATATAACTACGTAACTGTTGCACTGCAGCATTATACAATATTTTTTTTAACGTACTGCTGCTGTCTACATTAAAAATAAATTTTTTACACCATATGCACTTTCCAATTAAATACAAAGCCACTACTAGTGTGACTTTAAATTATTGTAATAGATAAACAACTCTCCATTATTCTCTCGTAGAAATTGACAAAAATGTTTTGCACTGCTTTATAACTAATTAAAATCAGTATTACCTCCATAACCAGTGCAACATGCCACAACAATCCAGGACAATCCTACAGCCCAAGCAGAATGACTAAGGGCACTGTACGCAGCACCAGCTGAAGGGGTGAGACGTGTTTCGTATAAACCATAAACAAGTGAGAGTAAACATGCTACAGATGCTGTCCAGCCAACTGTAACGCTCAGCTAAAACAATAATTATTTTGAAAAAAAAACAAATGTACACATACAAAATTGTTTCTTTAAGGCCCTACCTTTGACATACGTATCCTACAGTTTTTCTTAAAAAGCAGCCACCCCGTGCACATGCCTATCAGGTAGGGCCCCAACCTAGTCCAAGGCTTGTCATAGATTTTATCAAAAAGTGCCAAGGGGTCGTCAGATCCAGGCATATGTCTGTTGCTGTAGGCTATATATCCAGTTGTCATCCAGGAACTTGCCAGGAAAACCACTAGCAATGCAGCAGCACTTTTAAAATGACTAAAAGGAATTATATATTTTTTAATGAAAACATTTATAGTACTTATTTATTTATGTAAAATTTCAAAATTGAAACTTGTACAAACGCATATGCAGGGTATTAGAAGTTTGACTGCCTTAATTTTAATAGATGATAGAATACATTAAAATTAACAAAAAAAACCTAATATGACCTGGGTCCTAAACTCAACCATTTCCGAGAAAAAAATTATCAAAATCTCCTACTTGTACAAAAGTTCGATTAATTAAGGAATATTGTCATAACTGCGCGCATAGAATACCATAAAATACAATGTTTATCACTTTTTTAAACTTCTTTATGCTTAATTCCAAAAGATAATTAGCGTTGTAATAAATTTAAAATTCGATAAAATTCATATCGAACAAGGTAGCTACTAAGCGCGCGCGCCATTATTCTATGGCTAGAAATTGGCCTCAATGATTTGGGAACGAGGAGGATTATCCCTCTTTATCCTGCCTCATCTCGTGTAGGCCTGGACAGCCTTCGTAGGTGGGCCCCATCCGTCGTCTACCCCGACCGCAAATGCGGCCGGTGTAGGCGCTTTGTGGGACCTCCTTTTGTCCTGGCTGGGCCCCGCCGGCTAGGGCCCTTTCTTCTGGCGCTCTTCTTGCTTCGCCGGCTCGTCTGTGTAAACCCCGGGGGTAGTGTCATGTTTATGTGTGGTNTTGCCACCACTTTTGATATTATTCTAAGCATCGACACAACAGGTGCTTCGAATGCGACTGAAAGTAAGAAAGATATTGCATATGAGGCTACGACTTGCCCCATGTAGATAACTAATGTTACGATGGTGCCTAAATGGAGTGGGCTGTCCATGCTCATTACCATCACTCTTATTATTATGGGGTGGAGGAGGTACGCACAGTATGTCACTCTGCTGAATGGGTAGAGGATTGTTGCCGATAGTATTTTGTTTACGATACCTGCAAATAATTTATACAAAAATTAATATAATTTTGGTATATGAAGTGTTACAAATTTTATTAAAGCTTTGATTAAAGAAATCCAGATCAATCAAATTATTTTAGTAAAAATTAAAGATATACATTTTATTATACACATATGTGTATGGTGGGTTGCAGTAATTTGCATTTGTAAATATTCACTGATCTAATAAATACAGAAAGGAAACTATTCCCATTGATATTAGCCATATTACCCATTGAATTTTAATTAAAATCCTTTTACGAAAGTGCTTCAAATATGTTAGAACCAGTTTCATATTTCAGTTTATTAATCTTTAATACTGCTGCTCTCTACATTAAAAATAAACTTTTTACACCATATGCACTTTCCAATTAAATACAGAGCCACTACTAGTGTGACTTTAAATTATTGTAATAGATAAACAACTCTCCATTATTCTCGCGTAGAAATTGACAAAAATGTTTTGCACTGCTTTATAACTAATTAAAATCAGTATTACCTCCATAACCAGTGCAACATGCCACAACAATCCAGGACAATCCTACAGCCCAAGCAGAATGACTAAGGGCACTGTATGCAGCACCAGCTGAAGGGGTGAGACGTGTTTCGTATAAACCATAAACAAGTGAGAGTAAACATGCTACAGATGCTGTCCAGCCAACTGTAACGCTCAGCTAAAACAATAATTATTTTGAAAAAAAAACAAATGTACACATACAAAATTGTTTCTTTAAGGCCCTACCTTTGACATACGTATCCTACAGTTTTTCTTAAAAAGCAGCCACCCCGTGCACATGCCTATCAGGTAGGGCCCCAACCTAGTCCAAGGCTTGTCATAGATTTTATCAAAAAGTGCCAAGGGGTCGTCAGATCCAGGCATATGTCTGTTGCTGTAGGCTATATATCCAGTTGTCATCCAGGAACTTGCCAAGAAAACAACTAGCAACGCAGCAGCACTTTTAAAATGACTAAAAGGAATATATTATACATTTTTTTGCTGAAAACATTTATAGTATCTTTTTATGTTAAATTTCAAAATTGAAACTTGCACAAGCAAACTACAAAAGCATCAAATTTAAAGTCATACCTAAAGAAATACAAAATATAATTCATAATTTTATTACCTTGCTGCCAAAATAAGCATTATTGCTCCTATAATATAGAACTGAGTGTCGTCTGACAAATACCAACTCCATAACATGCACTGGAAAGAAAAAAATGGGATTTAAAAAAAAAGAATTAGATATTTTTAGTTGGAATGGTTTTTTTAAATATATTTTTTTAACTCTGTTTTTAAATGTCGTAGATGTTAGTACTTAACTGGATTTAAACAGTTTTCTAATCAATTTTGATAGAAACGAATAATTTTTCTATAATTTTTGCCATGTTTATTGCTCATTTGTGGGCGGAGCGATCTCGATCGAGACGCAAACTTATTTGTGACGGTCTGTACTTTTATAACTGTTAGACGAAAAAATGAACGTAACACATTATTTACCTCTGCTTGTTGAAATAGTGGTTATATTGAAAATGACTTACCATTTCTGGTGCTGGGAACAAAGTATTAATATACAACACATTCCTCCACCAATAATTTGGACAATTCACGTGATCCATAGCTGGAGGTTCAAACACAGAATTGTAATAGAACCATTTCATAGAAACTTCAACAACTCCTATAGTGAAGAGGTATGGTGCAGTTAACCTAATGCAAAAAACTATTATTTTATAATATGTATTAACATATACATATTATTTGTGTTACTTTAACAATTACTTGACCCTCAAATCATCAAAATCTAGAAATAATCAAGAATGGGAACAAGGCAAACAGAAGAGAAAGATCTTAATTTGATAGATGGTAAAAGAAATAGAAAAAAATAAAACAAAATAACACGTTTTGTAGTTGATAGAATTTGATCCCTTTTGGAAAAGACCTTGAGGATAAATCAAGCATGAAATCCATAATTTTTTTCATCTAAAATAAAGAGGTACAACAAAAATATATTGCCAAATCACGAATAAGAATTAGAAATAAATAAATTTCTACCATAGATAAAAGGAGAATATAAGAAAAGTGTATCAAGTATTTCAAATAATTTTTTAAATGAACATAATATGCATCGTGCTTACCTAGCAAATCTGTAGCCGATCAGTCCTACGAAATGTAGCAGTCCCGCCATAAGTCCGCTCTTCCCATTGGTCAAAGGATCAAGTTTTCCTTTCGCATTGCTTCTGAAATAAAGGAAAGACACCAACAATCCGCTCGTGAAGAAGAAGGTGTCTACACTGAAAGTCCCATTTGATATGGTTTGGAACATAAACTCTTTCTCCACTACCTTTCTGTATTCCATATTATCTAAAATGAAGATTTTAAACCCAAAATATTATGCGATTGTCTTTACGTACCTGAATATTTAAAAGCGATGATACAGGTGTGCCCTAATATGACCCAAGCCATACTGATTGCTTTTAATCCATGTAACACCGGAATGGTGTCACTACCAACTGTTTGGTCGCAGATAGACTTTAGGTTTGCTTTTAAAGAAAACGATAGTAGGACTTCTTTTAGAATCATTCCTGAAAATTAAGATGGTCCAGAGTTTATACAGGAGTACATTTATAATAAATATGTGTTGGTGTAAGTTACAAAGAAAGGAGAGAAGATGCTAGAGATGCTGTTTTACCAAGAATTTACCACTCAGATACATTTCAAAAAGGAATATGCAGAGAATATTAAGGAAGTTATACAAAGGACATAAAAAAAATATGAGGGAATAACAGAATACGGAGAAACACTAGCGGAGAAGGGAGAAACTGGTGAATATTTTGAAAGTTAACATGCGAAAATGTTAAATTCAATTACAGCTTTGGTACCCTTGAAAATATCCTTTATGAATTGCTTCTTCATGAGGAAGTACTTTTTTAACCAAAAAATGCATCGGTATCGCAACTCTATCTTTTTTCTTACGAAACACTATATTTTCATAGTGTGTCCACAGTTAGAGTAAATAAAATGAACAACTTTTTTATACAGTGAAAAACATAGTGATAAAAAGTGTTGCTTGTATTTAAGATGAGGTTACCATGGAACAAGTTAACATCTCATGTCCAGAAAATTAAAAATCTGGAACTGTAAGAGTAAACTACATTTATATTTATCTACTTTTTCGAAATAATTTCATTAGGAACAGTTGTTCAGAATTAAAAGTTACGACATAATTCTCATTTACTGTAAAAAGGACCCACTTTATTTATTTACAAAAATTTATGTCAAAGAGCAAATGAAAATGTGGAAGAACTGAAAAGATTGCTTTTTCTATTTATAATTTTTCGACAGTTTTAAATATCAAAAAAGATATTATAGAATTTCAAGTTATTAAATTGGTTCACTTTATTTATTAAAAGACATGTTCACGAATACAACTGTTATGACTATTTTGCTCTTTTTTCACTCTTATAGAGAGCTATAGAACGAAACTTTCATCGACAGGTCATGTTTCCACTCTTCGATAAATGGCATTTGCGATATTGGAGTCTCAAAAATCCTTATTTTAGAATACCATGACAATATTTTAGAATAGTAAATGTTTGATCTTTTTATGAAATAATAGGACAATACTTCTTTGAAGATATCTACATCATGCAATGCGAACAGCAACCTGAATATACACCAAACGTTTTTCACTAATGAATTGGAAAGTTAATCACTGGCCTACCGCAATTATTTCCAGCAAAATGGTGGTCTGACACATTCTGCTGGGACCTGGTTACGGATACATTTCCTAATGTTTGGCCAATATAGTATGGACCATATCCATGGTTCCCAATGTATCCAGTTTTAACAATCATGGGCTTCTGGAACCGACTTAAACAAATTGTGTACAGAAAATCTTCGGACCATAACATCGACCAAATAAAACAATGCGTTAGAGAGAAGCTGCAGTCCATATCTTGAGAAGAGGTTAGCCGAAGTTCATTGCTTGTCATCAAATTTGTGTGGACATTGGTGGAAGTTTGTTGGAATAACATTTTATTATATTACATATTTTCTCCCATATTCACTATATCCTTTAAAATATTGCTGTACATTTTTGAACGTGTCTTTTTCTAAGTATAACTTTTTCGAAAAAGTAAAAATAAAGGCAGAGGACTCTTATGACATTTTTATATTCTCTAAATTTCTATGCACTTCTATGCAGAAAATAAAAAAGTGTTTCCTCTTGTTCACTCTGTATAGATACTGTATATTCAGAAACTGTACTATATAGTAGGTGTGATCAAAATAATGTGCCAATAATGTATTGGACGATGATTTAATTTGTTACAGATTACTGTAATCGCTTTCTAACACTTATGGCACATTTTTGGCCACATGTCTTAAATTACAGCCACAGACATATCAAATCTTATCCCTTTAATTCTGAGAAAATTTCTAAGGAAATTTATAAAAATATAGGTTATTTTGTAATCAAACATAAAGTTGCTAGCTATATATAGCTGTCTGCAAAAACAAAGTTCCAGTCGAACGTAACATTTTCATGATCTTATGCATTTTTGTGAGCAATAAATAATATTTCGCTTTTTCACTAAGATAGATGTGTATTATAATTAACATCAAGTTAGAAATCACTAAAAAATCGTTCTAATAGTAAAAAATAGTATTATCTTATTATTATTAACTCTAACTTTAATGAAAGGGGAAAATTTTATTTTCTTTGTAAACAGTCACCACGTCAATTTTATTCCTAATATTGATTATATTATACATCATTTTTTACGGAATTTACTTTTCTTTCATAATGACATTAGTAGATTAATTTCCTTGCTACAAAGCAGACGCTTAAAACTGATTTAATACTATTAATACACACACTGTTAAAAGCACCATCTCCACCAAGTTATTGCTAGTTGCGAAACAGAAATCAAGAAATACATACTTATGGGCGATTCGCGTGATCGTGAAGAATTATTATTACCAATATTAATCTGCGATTGAAGATGGTCATCACCGTTGATACAAACTTCGTTGTTGTTGTTTACCACATAAAGACTGCACTTTCCTGTAAGAATAAATTATTATTAAGAATTTTTGAAAAGTTAATATTGTGAAAAGTACCGTTTTTAGTTTTTATATCAGGCATGCTCATGTCCAATTTTGTGCTGAAGTGTGAGTTCTTATTCCTTTTTTTCTGATGTCCCAGGTATAAGTCGAAAAGTGTTGCTATGACCAAAAGAACGACAACGATGCTGGTGACGACACTAAAATGCAATTCGAATTTAGGTGTGTAATTTATAAAAAAGTAACTACATACTCAAAAAATTTTTTAAAAATATCATTGGAGGTACAAATCTTTTCTTTACTAAGTTTACTTGGAAAGAGTTTGCATTTCTGCACAAACTGCATTGCTCTAACGAAAAATTTGAGGTATGAAAGATTTTATGACAAAAGGTATTTATACATATGCATATGTTGTGAATTTTCAAATTTGAAAGCTGGAACAGACCAGCTGAAAGTCAAGATTTTAACACTAATTAAATTTTATTTTATTTCAATTATTGTACACAAGTTTTGGAACAATTATTTAATTATTTGGAATAAATGTAAACCATTTTTTTTATAAAGAAATACAAATTATTTAATTTTAAAAGTTAGCTAACCCAAAAAGTGAATTTCAGTTTACTGCATCCACGACACAATATATTCCTCTATTTATTTCCACGAAATATTTAAACAATAATTATATTCAATCTTGAAATTGGAAATATTTATTTGTACTTTCAAGTGAATCTGTGTGAATCGATATGTAACATTTTATATTAATAAATTAATAACCGATTTTTCAGTCATTAACTGGTAATTTCTATAGCGTAAAAAGGATAAGTATGTAGAATAGACTTACCAGAGAATTATGAAAGTCCTATCACCCCACATGTTATATCTATTATGTTCGGACTTAACAGCTTCTACCTTCACTGTAATCTTTTGGGAGGATTTCGAAGTCTCTTCCATCGTCCTTTTAACATCTTCGTCGGTACATTTTAAAGGCAAACATAGTCCAAAGTGTAAAATTCTCTCCTGAAACAAGCACCTACCATTTTGATTGATTTTTTCACTCTTACATGATTTCTGAGATTTCTAGTAACAAATTTGTTTTTTGATCATGAAACAGGATGTTCAAGAACTTGAAAATTATTTTTAAAGATAACTTTATCTGTTATAAATACGACATAAATGACGAGGTAGAAAAATAAAATAAAATAAATAAATACCTTATAATAAATTAATTAATTATATAAAAAAGTATTTATATTAGGAACTGTAGTTATCTAATAGTCTACGATGCAGCTTCAGTGAGAAATAATATCGACATTAACTTATCATACACTTATTTTTTTTAAATATCCGCAGAAAAAAAGCATAGAGGATTTAAGTCCAAAGAACGAAAAGATCGCGGTACTGGACCATGAAAAATACATCGACAAATACTTGTAGAATTGGTAAATTATTTTTTAAAAAGTTCAAATATGGTCCAGTCAGGCGGTTTGGTAACACAAAGTAACACAAAAGAAAACCCTAATAAAAAATTACACGGAAAAAAGATTGTCATGAGAATTCAACCAATTGTTTCTAAAATCACGACAGCAACAAATTGTATCGTAAACATTGTTTGAAAATTTGGGAAAATCTGCAATTTGTTGGTAATAATTTCACAATTGTAAAAATAATCACAATATAAATGTCGAATTTTTACACAATTCGTGACAATGTTTTTTCCATGTACGAGTAACATAATAGACCCACCCAAAATCAAACAAACTATGCCTCAACTTAAGAATTGCCATTAAAGTCACTTGTCTTCAAAGTAATTTCCTCAATAATCAGATGACTATAACGCGACTTTAAAGTTCTTAACACATTGAAAACTTCAATCGTAACTTTTACATTAAATAGATTAAAGTAACAGACACTTTAAAAAAAATATGTTACCCAAACAATGCAAAAATTGCTCTGAAGTGGCCAAACTACCATCTGTGCTAATTAGTTTCTAACTTCGCCATCTATTTACTGACATNTGTGTGTGTGTGTGTCGTTGTCTTCGTTTCTTGATCCTGGCTGTCTCTGAAACAGAAAAGGTTAGCGGGCAGGGGGGGGGTCATTGGGGTGGTCACCCGGGGTCAAAAAGTTGGTGTCTAGGTCTTTTGTGTTTGTCGGTCACGTCGGGTACGTAGTCAACGGCTTGCCTGAGGAGGTAGCTACTAAGCTATTCACCAATACACATTCAGTTGGTATCTGGAATTCGACCGTATCGGAGTGTTTTTTGCGTACCACTATTTCCTTTTTTGGGGTGTTTTCCAACGAGTGCGGGAATATTGGATTCGAAGGTGTCGTGCATGCATAGAAAATGGTGGTGGACGTTTTGATCATATGTTTGTAGTTTGTTTTATACTTGTGCGTTTAAAAATTACTGAATTTTGCTTTTTGGTAAGTACCTAAATTATTTTTGATACAAATGATTATTTGGATGACGTGAATCTTTGGGTACTTTAATTACATATTTTTCAAATTCATAGTTTGATTAAAAGTTAAGTTCCTGTTTTAAGAGATTCATAATTACTAAAATTCGAGTTAAAATTTAAGCACAACACCATCTTTGTACTACAAAATCGATACATTTTATTTTATTTAAAAACTGTAAAACAATTGTCTTGAAATTTACTAAATATTTCAAAATAATAGCTGTTTACATTTTTTCCGTTGGACAAGTCTGCCGCGTGCACACGTGGTATGCATCAGCTGTGTAGCGTTTGGTTAAGCGCTGTTGTCACGTTGTGATGAAACTCCCCAATATTAATACTCACTGTATTTTGAAAACTGTTAATCTTACGCCCCTGTAATATACAACTTTTTTGTTCATTTATGATTACTTAAAGTAAAACTTCTTACACCCTGTATTTTAAACTAGTGAATTACAAAATATCAAATTTAAAGTCATTAAACAAATCCAGAAAACAATAGATAATTTTATTACCTTGCTGCCAAAATAAGCATTATTGCTCCTATAATATAGAACTGAGTGTCGTCTGACAAATACCAACTCCATAACATGCACTGAAAAAAAGATGTATTATGAGGTTCTTAATAAAAAAAAAATAGATTTTTTGGTTTGAAAAGGTTGTTTTAAATAACTCTGTTCTCAAAAGTAATAGTTAGTAGGTACCTACTAATAGTTAGTAGTAACAGTTAGTACTGTTACTGGATTTGAAGTAAGTTTAAATCACTTTCCTAATAATTTTGTATAGAAATAAATAATTTTTCTATAATTTTTGACATATATCTATTGCTCATTTGTGGGGGAGCTATATCAGAGACAAACTTATTTGTGTCGGTCTGTACTTTTATAACTGTTAGACGAAAAAATGAACGTAACACATTATTTACCTCTGCTTGTTGAAATAGTGGTTATATTGAAAATGACTTACCATTTCTGGTGCTGGGAACAAAGTATTAATATACAACACATTCCTCCACCAATAATTTGGACAATTCACGTGATCCATAGCTGGAGGTTCAAACACAGAATTGTAATAGAACCATTTCATAGAAACTTCAACAACTCCTATAGTGAAGAGGTATGGTGCAGTTAACCTAATGCAAAAAACTATTATTTTATAATACGTATTAACATATACATATTATTTGTGTTACTTTAACAATTACTTGACCCTCAAATCATCAAAATCTAGAAATAATCAAGAATGGGAACAAAGCAAACAGAAGAGAAAGATCTTAATTTGATAGATGGTAAAAGAAATAGAAAAAAATAAAACAAAATAACACGTTTTGTAGTTGATAGAATTTGATCCCTTTTGGAAAAGACCTTGAGGATAAATCAAGCATGAAATCCATAATTTTTTTCATCTAAAATAAAGAGGTACAACAAAAATATATTGCCAAATCACGAATAAGAATTAGAAATAAATAAATTTCTACCATAGATAAAAGGAGAATATAAGAAAAGTGTATCAAGTATTTCAAATAATTTTTTAAATGAACATAATATGCATCGTGCTTACCTAGCAAATCTGTAGCCGATCAGTCCTACGAAATGTAGCAGTCCCGCCATAAGTCCGCTCTTCCCATTGGTCAAAGGATCAAGTTTTCCTTTCGCATTGCTTCTGAAATAAAGGAAAGACACCAACAATCCGCTCGTGAAGAAGAAGGTGTCTACACTGAAAGTCCCATTTGATATGGTTTGGAACATAAACTCTTTCTCCACTACCTTTCTGTATTCCATATTATCTAAAATGAAGATTTTAAACCCAAAATATTATGCGATTGTCTTTACGTACCTGAATATTTAAAAGCGATGATACAGGTGTGCCCTAATATGACCCAAGCCATACTGATTGCTTTTAATCCATGTAACACCGGAATGGTGTCACTACCAACTGTTTGGTCGCAGATAGACTTTAGGTTTGCTTTTAAAGAAAACGATAGTAGGACTTCTTTTAGAATCATTCCTGAAAATTAAGATGGTCCAGAGTTTATACAGGAGTACATTTATAATAAATATGTGTTGGTGTAAGTTACAAAGAAAGGAGAGAAGATGCTAGAGATGCTGTTTTACCAAGAATTTACCACTCAGATACATTTCAAAAAGGAATATGCAGAGAATATTAAGGAAGTTATACAAAGGACATAAAAAAAATATGAGGGAATAACAGAATACGGAGAAACACTAGCGGAGAAGGGAGAAACTGGTGAATATTTTGAAAGTTAACATGCGAAAATGTTAAATTCAATTACAGCTTTGGTACCCTTGAAAATATCCTTTATGAATTGCTTCTTCATGAGGAAGTACTTTTTTAACCAAAAAATGCATCGGTATCGCAACTCTATCTTTTTTCTTACGAAACACTATATTTTCATAGTGTGTCCACAGTTAGAGTAAATAAAATGAACAACTTTTTTATACAGTGAAAAACATAGTGATAAAAAGTGTTGCTTGTATTTAAGATGAGGTTACCATTTCATGTCCAGAAAATTAAAAATCTGGAACTATTATAAGGGTAAACTACATTTATATTTATCTACTTTTTCGAAAAAATGTCACTAGGAACAGTTGTTCAGAATTAAAAGTTACGACATAATTCTCATTTACTGTAAAAAGGACCCACTTTACAAAAATTTATGTCAAAGAGCAAATGAAAATGTGGAAGAACTGAAAAGATTGCTTTTTCTATTTATAATTTTTCGACAGTTTTAAATATCAAAAAAGATATTATAGAATTTCAAGTTATTAAATTGGTTCACTTTATTTATTAAAAGACATGTTCACGAATACAACTGTTATGACTATTTTGCTCTTTTTTCACTCTTATAGAGAGCTATAGAACGAAACTTTCATCGACAGGTCATGTTTCCACTCTTCGATAAATGGCATTTGCGATATTGGAGTCTCAAAAATCCTTATTTTAGAATACCATGACAATATTTTAGAATAGTAAATGTTTGATCTTTTCATGAAATAATAGGACAATACTTATGTATATGAAGATACCTACATGCAATGTGAACAGCTACCTGAATATGCGCCAAACGTTTTTCACTAATGAATTGGAAAGTTAATCACTGGCCTACCGCAATTATTTCCAGCAAAATGGTGGTCTGACACATTCTGCTGGGACCTGGTTTCGGATACATTTCCTAATGTTTGGCCGATATGGTACGGACCATATCCATGGTTCACTCTGTATAGATACTGTATATTCAGAAACTGTACTATATAGTAGGTGTGATCAAAATAATGTGCCAATAATGTATTGGACGATGATTTAATTTGTTACAGATTACTGTAATCGCTTTCTAACACTTATGGCACATTTTTGGCCACATGTCTTAAATTACAGCCACAGACATATCAAATCTTATCCCTTTAATTCTGAGAAAATTTCTAAGGAAATTTATAAAAATATAGGTTATTTTGTAATCAAACATAAAGTTGCTAGCTATATATAGCTGTCTGCAAAAACAAAGTTCCAGTCGAACGTAACATTTTCATGATCTTATGCATTTTTGTGAGCAATAAATAATATTTCGCTTTTTCACTAAGATAGATGTGTATTATAATTAACATCAAGTTAGAAATCACTAAAAAATCGTTCTAATAGTAAAAAATAGTATTATCTTATTATTATTAACTCTAACTTTAATGAAAGGGGAACATTTTATTTTCTGTGTAAACAGTCACCACGTCAATTTTATTCCTAATATTGATTACATTATATATCATTTTTTACGGAATTTCTTTTTCTTTCATAATTTTTTTCATTAGTAGATTAATTTCCTTGCTACAAAGCAGACGCTTAAAACTGATTTAATACTATTAATACACACACTGTTAAAAGCACCATCTCCACCAAGTTATTGCTAGTTGCGAAACAGAAATCAAGAAATACATACTTATGGGCGATTCGCGTGATCGTGAAGAATTATTATTACCAATATTAATCTGCGATTGAAGATGGTCATCACCGTTGATACAAACTTCGTTGTTGTTGTTTACCACATAAAGACTGCACTTTCCTGTAAGAATAAATTATTATTAAGAATTTTTGAAAAGTTAATATTGTGAAAAGTACCGTTTTTAGTTTTTATATCAGGCATGCTCATGTCCAATTTTGTGCTGAAGTGTGAGTTCTTATTCCTTTTTTTCTGATGTCCCAGGTATAAGTCGAAAAGTGTTGCTATGACCAAAAGAACGACAACGATGCTGGTGACGACACTAAAATGCAATTCGAATTTAGGTGTGTAATTTATAAAAAAGTAACTACATACTCAAAAAATTTTTTAAAAATATCATTGGAGGTACAAATCTTTTCTTTACTAAGTTTACTTGGAAAGAGTTTGCATTTCTGCACAAACTGCATTGCTCTAACGAAAAATTTGAGGTATGAAAGATTTTATGACAAAAGGTATTTATACATATGCATATGTTGTGAATTTTCAAATTTGAAAGCTGGAACAGACCAGCTGAAAGTCAAGATTTTAAAACTAATTAAATTTTATTTTATTTCAATTATTGTACACAAGTTTTGGAACAATTATTTAATTATTTGGAATAAATGTAAACCATTTTTTTTATAAAGAAATACAAATTATTTAATTTTAAAAGTTAGCTAACCCAAAAAGTGAATTTCAGTTTACTGCATCCACGACACAATATATTCCTCTATTTATTTCCACGAAATATTTAAACAATAATTATATTCAATCTTGAAATTGGAAATATTTATTTGTACTTTCAAGTGAATCTGTGTGAATCGATATGTAACATTTTATATTAATAAATTAATAACCGATTTTTCAGTCATTAACTGGTAATTTCTATAGCGTAAAAAGGATAAGTATGTAGAATAGACTTACCAGAGAATTATGAAAGTCCTATCACCCCACATGTTATATCTATTATGTTCGGACTTAACAGCTTCTACCTTCACTGTAATCTTTTGGGAGGATTTCGAAGTCTCTTCCATCGTCCTTTTAACATCTTCGTCGGTACATTTTAAAGGCAAACATAGTCCAAAGTGTAAAATTCTCTCCTGAAACAAGCACCTACCATTTTGATTGATTTTTTCACTCTTACATGATTTCTGAGATTTCTAGTAACAAATTTGTTTTTTGATCAGAAACAGGATGTTCAAGAACTTGAAAATTATTTTTAAAGATAACTTTATCTGTTATACGACATAAATGACGAGGTAGAAAAATAAAATAAAATAAATAAATACCTTATAATAAATTAATTAATTATATAAAAAAGTATTTATATTAGGAACTGTAGTTATCTAATAGTCTACGATGCAGCTTCAGTGAGAAATAATATCGACATTAACTTATCATACACTTATTTTTTTTAAATATCCGCAGAAAAAAAGCATAGAGGATTTAAGTCCAAAGAACGAAAAGATCGCGGTACTGGACCATGAAAAATACATCGACAAATACTTGTAGAATTGGTAAATTATTTTTTAAAAAGTTCAAATATGGTCCAGTCAGGCGGTTTGGTAACACAAAGTAACACAAAAGAAAACCCTAATAAAAAATTACACGGAAAAAAGATTGTCATGAGAATTCAACCAATTGTTTCTAAAATCACGACAGCAACAAATTGTATCGTAAACATTGTTTGAAAATTTGGGAAAATCTGCAATTTGTTGGTAATAATTTCACAATTGTAAAAATAATCACAATATAAATGTCGAATTTTTACACAATTCGTGACAACGTTTTTTCCATGTACGAGTAACATAATAGACCCACCCAAAATCAAACAAACTATGCCTCAACTTAAGAACTGCCATTAAAGTCACTTGTCCCTAAAAATCTCTATAAAGTATAAATAACACTAAAATGTGTCTTCAAAGTAATTTCCTCGATAATCAGATGATTATAACGCGACTTTAAAGTTCTTAACACATTGAAAACTTCAATCGTAACTTTTACATTAAATAGATTAAAGTAACAGACACTTTAAAAAAAATATGTTACCCAAACAATGCAAAAATTGCTCTGAAGTGGCCAAACTACCATTTGTGCTAATTAGTTTCTAACTTCGCCATCTATTTACTGACATTTGATAGTAATAGGACAAATAAATTAAACGATTTTTAATTTTTTCATGAATTTTATAGTACTATTTACTAAACGAAACGATTCCGAAATACTTATAGTCGTATTAAATGAACTATTTTTCTATTTTTTTTTTTGGAATTACCCTTACTTCCTCAAAATTTTTCAATTTTTCAACACCGTGTATTGCTCTTTATGTTATCCGAATCCTACAAACTTTATCACTTACCTCTGTGGTAAAACTAGAGTTCAAATGCAGTCTCAGCATAAAGAAAGACAACGGAAAAGGGGCTGAAGTGTAAATAGCTGGTCCAGAGTTATATCCCAATGGAGCACTAGGACTTTGTGGTTTTAGAGACACTGCAGCTGCTCGAGTGGATCTAGAATGGTTCTGAAAACGACATTTTTGATAAAAAAAAATAATCAAACATCTAAACTCAAAGGCATTGTCAGTGTAATAATTATTATTTTCATACAGCAGGCATGTATGTATGTATGTATGTCGGAGGGGTGGTGGAATTGTCTTCCACCACGGCACTTAGGTCTTATTAGGCCCCTTGTACACCCTCCTTCATTACTCGACTACTTTTCTTCGAGTACTACAGCAGGCATATTACGTATATTAGAACCAAACAAATGAAACGCTACTGTAAAAGTTATCTAATTGTTTCAAGCAAGCGAGTGAAGATTGTAAAAATTCATTAGAAGTACGAAGAGTGTGTAGATGAGAATGTGCGTAAATTACGTGGACTTTTCGGTAGAAGGAACGTCCGGAATGAAACAACTGTGAAAAATTTTAACAAACGGGTTCGGTTGCAGACAATTAAAAAACAGGCCGGCCTCGTATTGGCCGTTTAGCCGAAAATATTGCCACTGTGAGTGAAAGTGGATGGTGATTTTGTTCAGAAAATCATATTAAGCGACGAGGCTTATCTTAGTGGGTATGTGAACAAACAAAACTGTCGACTTTGGGGCAGAGACATTCCTAGGGTCGTTCATTAATGACCACTGTATCCCCAAAGATTGACGGTGGTGTGTATTTTGCGCTGGTGGATTGGTCCATTCTTTTTTGAAAACGAGGCTGGCAACGCAGTGACAGTCAATGGAATTTTAATAACGAATAAAAGTTAAAGTTGTTTTATTTTTAACCATTATTGAAAAAAATGTTTGTTACAACTATACCTACTTATAATAAATTATGAACTACTCTGAGTGGTATTTTAGTGGATAATTATGCCAATCAGCTTTTTACTATGTGACATGGTTCTTTAGTTATTGTTTCATGAATATTATAATTAATTCCATCTTTTTTATTTGTAAGGGTCAAATATCACATTTACTTTTATATTTCCAGGATACACAATCATTGCTCCACTAATACAATTTTAATTATTCAATATCGGGAAATCAATTATCAGACAAAGGCTTAATCTAAGTGGTATTAACAGTAATACGCGATGTAATACTTTAATTAGTGTTACCTACCTAAAGTATACTAATAAATATTTATAAGTATAATTTGTTGAAAATGTGCCAGTCACACCTACCGACTTATTAAAAAAAATTATAGCGTTTTGTTACATAATCAAGTGAAGTGAAACTAATTAAGTTTACAGTCTTTTTTAATCAGAGCAAAATAATAAAGAAGTGTTATCACCGATATCGGTGCTCATACACATATCGGTGTCAAGTTTAACTTGGGGCAATTGAATGAATATCCTTTAGTTATTGAATGAATGTTAATGAAAATATATATCCTGTATGTCGAAAAAAGTCTGAAGGATATACACGCTGGGACATTTTTCAGAAACATGAGGCAGCAAAATGTTAACTACGGAAGTTATGCAATAAAAACCATTAAAGAAACCATGCTTTATTATTTTAGATATATGTATAGGTTTATTGAATTATATCTAAAATAAAAATTGAAAATTATTTGTTCAAATATTATTAACCATTAACCAATACAAACGCACATACCTGATATATTGAAATTTTTAGATAATGCAATATTTCAAAGAAATATCTTGTATTCTTGTTGCTCACTTGACGACCACAGCAGATAAGATCTTACTTACTGTCTCTGCAAAATGAGCCTTTGTGCGATTAAAAATCTTAAAAAGTAAGAAGTTATCGTCAAAAAAATAAACACGTGTATAGGTGATAATTTTAAGAAAATTTAGGTCAAACAAGAATTTTGAAGCATTTAGATCTTTTTTGTATATACAGGGTGTTCGGAAATTCCGTTCGAATAATTCTAGGGGTGATTCTACATGTTAAACTATGAAGAAAAGTTCATATGAATATAGGTCCGCAAATGCGTCATAAGGTTGCTATGGCGATTCAAAGATTGCACCGGGATATAGGTTTTATTTTATATCTCTGGAACCGTTTCAGATAGCCATCTGAATTTTGGCATATGTATTGCCTTTAATAGTAGGTACCTTTCAGTGTTTTTACTAAATTATTATTTTAATCAGGGGCGTACCGACAGGGGAGGCCTCGATTTAATTTGTTCACATTTTTATTAAACGTCATATTTTTGCAGTTTTCTTTAGAAATTCTGATTCCGCGGTATAAATGACATAAAAAAGGTATTCTTGTAGAAAACCTGTCAGGCTAGCCGTTTTCGAGAAAATACTCTCCAAAGAAAATAGTGCATGCATGGTCGCCCAATAATAAAAATTTCTACATCAAAGTAGGCTTATGTCGGTGCTAAGTTGAAAATGGAAAAAGGTCAAATTACTGTAGTTACGGTAAACGAATTTGACATAAGGTTTAAAAATAAAGTTTATTCGATTATTATTGTGTTAATAACAGTGTAATTGAAAAAAATCATTGTTCTCGTCTTTCAAAAAATGCCGGAATACTCTTTTGCTGAAATGGCCGACATGCACTTCATGTATGGCAAAGCAAACGGTTGTGCTTTGGAAGCTCGGAGGTTGTACCAAGAAACTTTTCCAAATCGCCAGCTTCCTTCTGATAAACTGTTCAGCAGTTTACATCAGAGATTAAGAGAAACTGGTAATTTTACGCCAAATAAGAGAGATTGTGGACGAAACCGTACTACCCGAACGGCGCAGACAGAGGAAATTGTTCTACAACAGATTGAAGCTAATCCAGGTAGTAGCACCAGAAGAATTTCAGTACAAACGAATATTCCCAAAAGTGTTGTATGGGAAATTTTACACGAGGAACTTTTGTATCCATACCATTTGCAAAGAATTCAAGCGCTAAAACCTC